ATTTAAATATGACAGGTAGAGATAAACAGCGTTAAAGAAATAAATAGGGTAAAAAAAAAATACAAAGGAAGAATAAACCAGATAAAAATATAACATGCACATAAATACTTTCAGAAATTAGTAATAAATAAACAAAGCTGAAGAATATAATGGACAATAAATAAATAAGGGAAGCTAATTAAACCTTCCTACATTTATTTGTTTATTGTATTAATTGTGTGCGTATTTATTTTTGGAGCATTTATTTATTTATGTATTTAATTTTAATTATGGCAGGATTGGTCCACCACAGTTTGAACAGTTGGGGCTTTATTTTGAAACTTCCCACCGGAAGACGTCCTGTAAAACGTCAGTCGTGACAGGTGGTCCCGTTAGTTACCAGAAACACGATACGCCTGGGCTTCTTATAAAGTGTAAAAAATAACAGGATTTCCGTTCGTTTCCGTGTTTATGTTGACAGAAATGGAAGGCGTAGAACGAGCAGCCAAAGACCAACAAAGAGAAATAAAGCAAGTTCCGTTGTGAAACCTTAGTTTGGTGACTGCAGGTTGACCGACGCTGCCTTAACCAGCCAGAGGAGTTTATTAGCCCACTTTATGTTAGCTTGGTAGCTAACTAGCCAAACTGAACACTACGGTGGGCTGGATCTGTCCTAACCGGTGTTATGCCCAAAAGTGCATGCCTGCCGAAATATGCATCCCCAGTCGCGGGAGCGCGCCTCGCTCTGTTGAACTGCATATCGACGAGGAAAACGGATTAAAATATGTTCAATGGAGCTTAGGTTCTTATATTAACGATATAAAAACGTTTAAAAATACCTCTCGTGGGAAAAAAAACTTGTGGTTATTTCGCAGATTAATTTACAAAAGTACGGATTTTTTTGAACAACATTAAATCCAAAGATTTTGACCATGGTACGGCTGATTTATTTGTTGTGGTCTCTTGCTATTTACACACAACACTAAACCGTGATAGCCGAAGTGAGTTTTGAGTTTGCAAAGCTTTCTCTTAAGTGGAAAATCAAACGCGCACCTACAAAGCACAGCGTTCACAGACCAGTGAGATGCGTTCGCTGCGCGTCATTCAGCTATGGTGCATTCAGGAGCATTGGAACATTTTAAACTTACAAGAATGAGGCATAAAACAGAACTGTATTTTTACTGAACTGTATTGTATTTTTTTTTTGTTTGTTTATGCACATCTGCTAGCTTTTTATTCTAAAAAATCTATAATATTACAGCAGCAATTTATCAAAGTTTTTCAAAATCCTGTTTAAAAGCTCCAAATGGGGCTTCAGATCATATGAAGCAACAATTGCACTGTCATTGTTTTACAGGGCAGTATTTGCATTTGCTGATCCTTGTACTTAATTACTGATGAATATACAGGAATACAGATGTACAAGTGTCAACTCCTCTGAGATAGCAGGGGATGGAATTTTTGGCAAGGACCTGCCAAAAAATGCATCCCCCTTGTTTTTAACTTAAAAATTGTCCCACACACATGAAATTCACACTGGTAGCTCAGCACACATGTGGAAGCAGGTAGAATTTGTCACATCAGCTACAAGTGTATATTTCTGGAAAAAAGCAGGGGATGCAATATTTGGCAAAGACCTGCCAAAAAATGCATCCCCCTTGTTTTTAACCTAAGGACCTGCCAAAAAATGCATCCCCCTTGTTTTTAACTTAAAAATTGTCCCACACACATGAAATTCACACTGGTAGCCCAGCACACATGTGGAAGCAGGAAGAAATTGAAACATCAGCTACAAATCTATATTTCTGGAAAAAAACAGGGGATGCAATTTTTGGCAAGGACCTGCCAAAAAATGCATCCCCCTTGTTTTTAACCTAAGGACCTGCCAAAAAATGCATCCCCCTTGTTTTTAACTTAAAAATTGTCCCACACACATGAAATTCACACTGGTAGCTCAGCACACATGTGGAAGCAGGTAGAAATTGAAACATCAGCTACAAATCTATATTTCTGGAAAAAAGCAGGGGATGCAATTTTTGGCAAGGACCTGCCAAAAAATGCATCCCCCTTGTTTTTAACTTAAAAATTGTGCCACACACATGAAATTCACACTGGTAGCTCATCACACATGTGGAAGCAGGTAGAATTTGTCACATCAGCTACAAATCTATATTTCTGGAAAAAAGCAGGGGATGCAATTTTTGGCAAGGACCTGCCAAAAAATGCATCCCCCTTGTTTTTAACTTAAAGATTGTCACACACACATGAAATTCACACTGGTAGCTCAGCACACATGTGGAAGCAGGTAGAATTTGTCACATCAGCTACAAATCTATATTTCTGGAAAAAAGCAGGGGATGCAATTTTTGGCAAGGACCTGCCAAAAAATGCATCCCCCTTGTTTTTAACTTAAAGATTGTCACACACACATGCAATTCACACTGGTAGCTCAGCACACATGTGGAAGCAGGTAGAAATTGAAACATCAGCTACAAATCTATATTTCTGGAAAAAAGCAGGGGATGCAATTTTTGGCAAAGACCAGCAAAAAATGCATCCCCCTTGTTTTTAACCTAAGGACCTGCCAAAAAATGCATCTCCCTTGTTTTTAACTTAAAGATTGTCCCACACACATGAAATTCACACTGGTAGCTCAGCACACATGTGGAAGCAGGTAGAATTTGTCACATCAGCTACAAGTGTATATTTCTGGATAAAAGCAGGGGATGCAATTTTTGGCAAGGACCTGCCAAAAAATGCATCCCCCTTGTTTTTAACCTAAGGACCTGCCAAAAAATGCATCCCCCTTGTTTTTAACTTAAAGATTGTCCCACACACATGAAATTCACACTGGTAGCTCAGCACACACGTGGAAGCAGGTAGAAATTGAAACATCAGCTACAAATCTATATTTCTGGATAAAAGCAGGGGATGCAATTTTTGGCAAGGACCTGCCAAAAAATGCATCCCCCTTGTTTTTAACCTAAGGACCTGCCAAAAATGGCATCCCCTGCTTTTTTCCAGAAATATAGATTTGTAGCTAATGTTTCAATTTCTACCTGCTTCCACATGTGTGCTGAGCTACCAGTGTGAAATTCATGTGTGTGTGACAATCTTTAAGTTAAAAACAAGGGGGATGCATTTTTTGGCTGGTCCTTTCCAAAAATTGCATCCCCTGCTTTTTTCCAGAAATATAGATTTGTAGCTGATATTTCAATTTCTACCTGCTTCCACGTGTGTGCTGAGCTACCAGTGTGAATTTCATGTGTGTGGGACAATCTTTGGGTTAAAAACAAGGGGGATGCATTTTTTGGCAGGTCCTTGCCAAAAATTGCATCCCCTGCTTTTATCCAGAAATATAGATTTGTAGCTGATGTTTCAATTTCTACCTGCTTCCACATGTGTGCTGAGCTACCAGTGTGAATTTCATGTGTGTGGGACAATCTTTAAGTTAAAAACAAGGGGGATGCATTTTTTGGCTGGTCCTTTCCAAAAATTGCATCCCCTGCTTTTTTCCAGAAATATAGATTTGTAGCTGATATTTCAATTTCTACCTGCTTCCACGTGTGTGCTGAGCTACCAGTGTGAATTTCATGTGTGTGGGACAATCTTTGGGTTAAAAACAAGGGGGATGCATTTTTTGGCAGGTCCTTGCCAAAAATTGCATCCCCTGCTTTTATCCAGAAATATAGATTTGTAGCTGATGTTTCAATTTCTACCTGCTTCCACATGTGTGCTGAGCTACCAGTGTGAATTTCATGTGTGTGGGACAATCTTTAAGTTAAAAACAAGGGGGATGCATTTTTTGGCAGGTCCTTAGGTTAAAAACAAGCGGGATGCATTTTTTGTCAGGTCTTTGCCAAAAATTGCATCCCCTGCTTTTTTCCAGAAATATAGATTTGTAGCTGATGTTTCAATTTCTACCTGCTTCCACATGTGTGCTGAGCTACCAGTGTGAATTTCATGTGTGTGGGACAATGTTTAAGTTAAAAACAAGGGGGATGCATTTTTTGGCAGGTCCTTAGGTTAAAAACAAGGGGGATGCATTTTTTGGCAGGTCTTTACCAAAAATTGCATCCCCTGCTTTTTTCCAGAAATATAGATTTGTAGCTGATGTTTCAATTTCTACCTGCTTCCACATGTGTGCTGAGCTACCAGTGTGAATTTCATGTGTGTGGGACAATCTTTGAGTTAAAAACAAGGGGGATGCATTTTTTGGCAGGTCCTTGCCAAAAATTCCATCCCCTGCTATCTCAGAGGAGTTGACACTTGTACATCTGTATTCCTGTATATTCATCAGTAATTAAGTACAAGGATCAGCAAATGCAAATACTGCCCTGTAAAACAATGACAGTGCAATTGTTGCTTCATATGATCTGAAGCCCCATTTGGAGCTTTTAAACAGGATTTTGAAAAACATTGATAAATTGCTGCTGTAATATTATAGATTTTTTAGAATAAAAAGCTAGCAGATGTGCATAAACAAACAAACAAAAAAAAAAAATACAATACAGTTCAGTAAAAATACAGTTCTGTTTTATGCCTCATTCTTGTAAGTTTAAAATGTTCTAATGCTCCTGAATGCACCATAGCTTTCTGACGCGCAGCGAACGCATCTCACTGGTCTGTGAACGCTGTGCTTTGTAGGTGCGCGTTTGATTTTCCACTTAAGAAAAAGCTTTGCAAACTCAAAACTCACTTCGGCTATCACGGTTTAGTGTTGTGTGTAAATAGCAAGAGACCACAACAAATAAATCAGCCGTACCATGGTCAAAATCTTTGGATTTAATGTTGTTCAAAAAATCCATACTTTTGTAAATTAATCTGCCAAATAACCACAACTTTTTTCCCACGAGAGGTATTTTTAAACGTTTTTATATCATTAATATAAGAACCTAAGCTCCATTGAACATATTTTAATCCGTTTTCCTCGTCGATATGCAGTTCAACAGAGCGAGGCGCGCTCCCGCGACTGGGGATGCATATTTCGGCAGGCATGCACTTTTGGGCATAACACCGGTAATACTTGGTGGCTTGTTGTCATTTCCCAGGAGAGGCAGCAACACGTAGCTCTCTATTGTTAAACCCTCCTTTCTCTGTCGGCGGTTGCAGCGGAATCAACGTGATTTGAGGCGTAGCCTCGCGCTCAGCGTCAGAGAGCCAGCAGCCTATCCCGGAGGATCCGCCGTCAAACACTTGAAATGCTTTCTACTTGGAACTTGTAGCCAGGGCGCCTGTAAATACCAACCGAGGCGATCATGTAAGCTGTCTTCTCGTGATATATCGGATTGGAAAGGTATAAGAAGAGCACATTTCAGCTCATCAAAGAAAAAAACCACCCGTGAAAAACGCATAGAGCCCAAGGTTAGATCCGAGAGCTGGTCTTTCTCTCTCAGCTGAGAAGCGGAGCGTTTCATGGTTTGAAACGTCTGTGCGTCTAAATCCTTCTCAACATCCTGAGGGCAACAAGAGACGGACGGAAGGAGAGGAAGCGGAGGGAGGCAGGCAGCAGGAGCCCCGACAATCAGCCGAGGAGAGGCATCGCTGAAATGAGATGAGGCTCAGAAATGGAACTGTGGCCACTGCGTTAATATTCTTCACATCCTTCCTCAGCCTGTCCTGGTACACAGCATGGCAGAACGGCAAAGGTAGGTTCCATACAGCTTACATCATGGGACGATTCAAAATAAAAAAATAAAATCATACTTGGAGGGCCCCTCCAATAGGACTTCCTGACAGAGCCCAGCAGATACCAAGTTTAGGTTCAATGTGTCTCAGAACAGTAGATAATCATAAGGTTCTAAAGCATTAGGTATTTACTTCCGCTTATTTGGTTTTATTAGCATCTTTTCCCCACATAGGAAAGCACTGATCAGTTTTTTCCTGGCCAGATTTATGAATATCCATAAGGCCCAACTTAAAAGTAAAACATGTGCTGTAGTTGTCTTTCACTGAATGAAGTAGGTTTCATAGGTACGGAAGAGGATTAGGGCCACTGAAAAAATAAAAAAAGTGAAGTGATTTTTAAATGTTATTTCAAAAGTCAGAATTCTGATTTAATCTCAAAATTCTGGATTTAATCTCAAAATTCTGACTTTAATCCATACATTCTGACTTTAATCCCAGAATTCTCTCTTATTTCTGACAATTCTGTGATCTCAGAATTCTGATTTTTTTCCCCTCACAATTCTGACTTTTTTTCCTCACAATTCTGACTTTTTTCTAACAATTCTGACCTTGATCTCAGAATTCTGCCTTCAATCTCAGAATTCTGCCTTTAATCTCACAATTCTGACTTTAATCTTACAATTATGAATTGTTTTTCCTCACAATTCTGACTGTGATCTCAGAATTCTGATTTTCTTTCTCATAATTCTGACTTTTTTTCTTAAAATACTGACTTTTTTTCTCACAATTCTGACTTTGATCTCAGAATTCTGCCTTTAATCTCACAATTCTGACTTGTTTTTCCTCACAATTCTGACTGTGATCTCAGAATTCTGATTTTTTTTCTCACAATTCTTTTTTTCTCACAATTCTGACTTGTTTTTCTCACAATTTTGACTTGTTTTTCTCACAATTCTGACTTGTTTTTCTCACAATTCTGACTTGTTTTTTTTCACAGTTTTGACTTTAATCTCAGAATTCTGTTTTCTGACAGCTAACAAGCATATTAGCATCAAGCCGTAGCCGTGTATGTTTTAGAGACTAGCTCTCTTGTTTTAATCACCTTCTGCTCTTCCATTAATGAAATGGCATCACCGGGTACCCCTCAGGGATGTAAAAAGTTGCCTAATTGCGTCATTTTCCAAACTACTCGCTCCCAAACTACTCACATGTTTGTCAGTGAAGCTGAGTGCTCCCACATCTCTCCTTTCATGGTCCCCATCTACATTAAGATCCACAATTCTGACCTTAGAAAAATGAATAAGAATAACAGACTAGTGAAGAGTTAATAGATACTCAATTAAATACTGTACTGTTAATTGTTTTAACAATAAAAACAACCGTGGACCTGGAAAATAAATAACCAGTAATGGATATCTGAAAATACCAGCAACATCAGAGATGTGTAAAATGACAGCTGCATGTTATTTATGTATGCAAACATGCCATAAAGTGATGGACTGATCAAATAATCCTTTATTATACATGAAAGCATTGGTACTAAACCTTAACCTGATATTCGTCGCATATAAGCTTCTGTTTTCATCCAACCTATTAGTTCTGGTTCTCAAGTCTAACTCTTTTGCCTTTAGGGTCTCCTTAGATTAAAACTATGAGGGTGTAGATGCCACCAAGGCCACTTTAACAGTGATCAAGGTACTGTGAGGCACAACCTGTGATGTTATACAAAAGTCAGTTGATTCTCTTCCCTTTTATATTGTGTTCATATATGGTTATATTTTAGATGTAGTTTTTATGTTTGCTGGTACTATTCGCACCTTTTGTTTTTATAAATATGTTATAGTTGAACACCCTTTTCTCTATGTTTCATCCGTGGGTGTTCATTTCCTCCCTTGTGGGATAAAGTCTATCTTTAACAGAGGAAGGAAGACACAAGTGGCATCGGCTGCCAATAGACTCATTAAATTTGTTTTCAAGTTCTGTTTTTTTCTCAATTTAAAGATGATAGAATCTTTTTTTAATTTTTTGTTCTGTGACCCTTTTGTTATTTATAGTATCTTGAGACCCCACAATTGTTTATCAAAGTGGGGTCCTGATCCCAGCTTTGGGCACCTCCAATTTAAACATTGTGTATTTAATATTTGGTTATCAAGATAAGAGTTTTACAACTCAACGTTTAATTGAAATTTGGAAAAGAGTTTATGTGAATGGTTGTAGAAGCCCCCAAAAAGCATAAAAAATGCAATTTCCTCCACTGATGAAACCAAAGCAAATTTCCGCATATTACTGTTTGATGATGAACATGCTAAGATCAAATACTCAACTTGATTTGTGTTTTGAATTTGACTAGTCTTTGTAATACGGAAGGGTTATAATAAATACATTAAGGTTTATTATTTATTTCTTATCTCAGTGTTTCTTTCCTGTCTGCTATTATTATCAGCTCATCTGGGTCTGTGTATTCCGACTACCGTGTCAAAGATGTATTTGGGTTTGACAGTTTCAAGAGGAGGCCTGGTTTACGCCCCGGCTGACACCAAGCTGGCCTGGGATCAGCTGAATGTTGTAAGATGGCAGGTGCTGTTGTTTCTCTAGATTCATTAGGTCTGTATGCAATAGCTCAGAATTTACAGGGAACATCTCAACTCATGCAAAGGTGCTCTCTACTCATCTCTACTCGCATTCTACTGGTTTTCAGTTTTGCTGATCATTTAGATAGGAGCATGTAAATAACTGTTATTTCCTGCAAAAATGTGGGTATGGAAGAAAAAAAAAACATATTTCCATCACATTTTCTAAAGTCTTTCTGCCCCCTTCGTTGTCCTGCTTTGGTTCGATTTGAGCACTTTGTGTATTGTTATATGAATGCCGTGATATGGTGTGAGCTATTGCAAAACAAATCAACCTAGCACTATTAATAAAGTCAGCTTGAATCTGCGACCCTACTGAATCTGAATTTCGGTTGTTCATTGGGGAGGAATTTAACCCCAGCATGTGGAGCTGTTAAGGAACTTAGTGTTTCGTTATCAGCAAAGTGCAAATAATGGTGGCTTTTAGATAAATTACAAGCCCAGGCTTCATGTTGTTGTTTCTCTGAAGCTTATCAGTTTGATGGCATCATTTCTATTAAAGGCAGTCCCAGTGAGCAGTGCCTGAAAGCAGCAGAAAACTCTCTCTTGTTATTTAGGAGTGCATGCACAATAAGCAGGAGATTATCCTGTCTGCTCTTTTTGTAGGTCCTGTTGATAAAATATATTGCGTCAATAGCATTAGGAGTGGGCGCAGTTGTCTTGCAAGGCCTGTTTGTTCCAAGAATCTAATGCTGACTAATTTTAGATTTAATTTGAAATGAGGATGACTAACCTTAACAGACTGGAAGAGTGGCTCCTGATGTAGCTGCTCTTTTACTTTATATGTTGCTGCTTGCACACAAAGACTACCTGTACTTACAGAACTTGTTGCTTACAGATTGTATAAATAGAAGGACCTCCGGTAACGATTTAACATACCTTAAAGATGGAAGGCAGTAAATTGGACGAAAAAAGCCTTCCAGAGAAGTACTGCTTCTGCTTTCAAAAAGCACAGTGTGCATGAGTTGCTGTGGCTGAGATGTGGTTCACTTGATCTAGTGCAGTGATGGCAGCTGGTGGTGTCACACTTTTCAACTGATCTGCAGATTATCATCAACTTTATTTATTAAGCACTTTAATTCTAGCTAAAGCGGAATCAAAGTGCTGTAAGTCAAAATAAAACAATGAAAAACAAGAAAACATTACAATGAGGTATTAAAACTAACAAAAGTAGAATAAAAAAACAATAAAATAAGACAAGGCAGTAAAACAGATAAAATTAATCATGATATATGATAAAAATATGCAAAAAGTACAGAAATATTCCTGCAGTTTATGAAGCAAATAGAGATTTATTTAATTTGGTATGTTGTAGCGTTGCAGCGCCGGATTGTGAGGCGTTAAAGTGCAACACTGAGGCTATGTCAAACATGTGGTCATTTTTTTTTGTCTCAGAATTTTTAATTCTCACCACAGTAAAGAAAGGAAAAATCTTCACATGTATACACACACAGACACCCACACCCACATGCTTTATAGTACCACTAATGTTCTTTAGATGAGACAGTTGACACAGACTTGACAGCTTCCTTTTTATCTGCTTCTTCTTGATGTAAAGATTTTCAATTAAGGTTGATTTTAATAGTTAAAACTGGGAGTATTTCTTTACTTGTTAACAGTCCCACAAGGATATTACAAAGGTTGTTAAAAATATCAGTACTTTGATTTACTTTTTACTTTTAGCTCGAAGTATTGATCCTCAACCCGTGTATCTGGATACAATACTAATTTAGCATGGTATTACCAAAGACAAGCGCTGTTAGCATATTTCTGCTTATAAATTTTAGATTTCTAGATTATTAATACATTATAGATGAATATCTGAGATATGTATTGATTTTGTATTAATTCTATTAGTTAACTGTTATTCTGGTGAGAAAGTGTGTTTCATGTTTAGATTGAAAGAGGTGGGGTTTATTTTTTTGTAATGACAAAATAATTTTTTATGCCTTTAATTATTAGTCATTTTTTATCCCCATGGATTCAAAAATCGAGATTGAAATGTAAGGTTTGTGACCATCGTAGATATTAGACCATGCTACTAAATGTGAGTAAACCATAAATGATAGTAGGGCTGAAACAATGAATCGGATCAATGGTGATTAATCGATTATTGAAATAATTGTCTGCTAATTTAGTAATCGATAAATGGTTAAATGGAGTATATAGACTCTGAAACATGCCTTTTGCTGACAGAGCGACCACTTAGAGCAGCAATTATACCGACATTGTAAAAAAATATATATGTATGTGTATGTATGTATGTATGTATATATATATATATATATATATATATATATATACATTTTGCATTTAAGATTAAAAAATAAAACATTCTCACCTGTCAATATGGTGTATCCATGTGGAAAAGTTTTAATTTCACCTGGTTG